ATGCGATTCACAGAACCACATGGAATTCTGCTTTCTCAAGATACCCTCAGATGCATATTAATACAACATCTTTGATCTGTTTAAAACAAGAATACTGTAAGCAGATGGTATATAATCTCCAGTAGTACACTCATTTTTAATATATGTATGTTAGCTTCAAGACAATCAAACCAAGAGACTATATCCATTTAGACCTATGGTGGCGGCATAAAACTCCCCTACTGGTAGACATAGGGGTACATATTCAGGAGAAAGGACCATTCACACATACCAGACCCTATAGTGAGTCTACAGTATATAAAGGAACCAGTACCATTAAACATTCTATTCAGTACAATGCATCATGAAAATGCTGGTGACCTACTAATGATTATGTATGCCAAGATGTTACCTTATAAGATCCCACTATAGGATACAGGGCTGTTTTTCTTTTCACATAGCTTCCCTAGGAGCCAAAGGCAGAGAATGATAGTTCCTCCTTTTCCATCCGTATAGGACATAGAGCTACAGTACATACAGTAGGACATAGATCTACATTATAACCCATACGGATAGAAAGGGAGGAACTATTGCTCTATGCCTTTGGCTCTTAGGGGGAGCTATATGAAGAGAAAACAGCCCAGTATCCTAAAGTGGGATTTTATAAAGAATTATCTTGGCATAATCTACACACACAGGCATGGCAAGGCAAAGCTTCTCCCCTTCCCCCTTGCTCCCCTCTTCTTCCTTCACCAAGCTAGTAGATTGACATCTGATGGAGCTGTTCATAAACATGATGCCTGTAAGTTCTTAGGCAAAAATGGGTAAGAGCCATAATCTGGTTCTATTGCTGTCTTCAGTTGACAAGTTTATGCCTGACTTCCTGGAGCCACTAAGCCTGGAAGTGAGGGGAAATCTCCCCAACAGGAAAAAAAAAAACCACCCGAAGAGTCTGTTCACACCACAGAATTGCACTAAACGCAAAAGAATGTGTGTTGTGCGCATGCTGTTGCACAGTGCACTCCACCACACACTAAGTAATCTGGTGAATTGCCATTTATTTGAATGGCACCACAATGCCCTTCCTGGCAGTCGGGTACTTCCCAATCTAAGCACCAATGTCCCCAGCAGATCAGATCTGCCCTGTACTCTCCGATCTAAACTCCCATGTCTCCTGCAAATCATATATCCCCTGTACTCCCCCATCTTAGCTCCAATATCCCCCCGCAGATTAGATCTGTCCTATTCTCCCCAATCTAAGCTCCGATGTCACCAGCAAATCAGATCTGTCCTATTCTACCATATCTAAGCTCCGATATCCCCCCGCAGATCAGATATGTCCTGTACTCCCTGATCTAAGCTCTAATGTCCCCCCGCAGATCAGATCTGTCATGTACTCCCTGATCTAAACTCCAATATCCACACGCAGATCAGATCTGTCCTATTCTACCTGATCTAAGCTTTAATGCCCCCGCAGATCAGATCTTTCCTATTCCCCCCAATCTAAGCTCTAATGTCCCCCGCAGATCAGATATTTCCTTTACTCCCCAATCTAAACTACAATATCCCCCCACAGATCAGATCTGTCCTATTCTCCCCGATGTAAGCTCTAAGGTCCCCCGCAAATCAGATCCGTACTGTACTCCACAATCTAGGCTCCAATATGCCCCCTAAATCAGATCTGTCCTATTCTCCCCGATCTAAGCTCTAATGTCCCACACAGATCAGATCTGTCCTGTACTCCCGATCTAAGCTCTAATGTCCCCCCGCAGATCAGATCTGTCCTGTACTCTCCAATCTAAGCTCCAATATCCTCCCGCAGATCACATCTGTCCTGTACTCCCCGATCTAAGCTCTAATGTCCCCCACAGATCAGATCTGTCCTGTACTCCCGATCTAAGCTCTAATGTCCCCCCGCAGATCAGATCTGTCCTGTACTCTCCAATCTAAGCTCCAATATCCTCCCGCAGATCACATCTGTCCTGTACTCCCCGATCTAAGCTCTAATGTCCCCCACAGATCAGATCTGTCCTGTACTCCCGATCTAAGCTCTAATGTCCCCCCGCAGATCAGATCTGTCCTGTACTCTCCAATCTAAGCTCCAATATCCTCCCGCAGATCACATCTGTCCTGTACTCCCCGATCTAAGCTCTAATGTCCCCCACAGATCAGATCTGTCCTGTACTCCCGATCTAAGCTCTAATGTCCCCCCGCAGATCAGATCTGTCCTGTACTCTCCAATCTAAGCTCCAATATCCTCCCGCAGATCACATCTGTCCTGTACTCCCCGATCTAAGCTCTAATGTCCCCCACAGATCAGATCTGTCCTGTACTCCCGATCTAAGCTCTAATGTCCCCCCGCAGATCAGATCTGTCCTGTACTCTCCAATCTAAGCTCCAATATCCTCCCGCAGATCACATCTGTCCTGTACTCCCCGATCTAAGCTCTAATGTCCCCCACAGATCAGATCTGTCCTGTACTCCCGATCTAAGCTCTAATGTCCCCCCGCAGATCAGATCTGTCCTGTACTCTCCAATCTAAGCTCCAATATCCTCCCGCAGATCACATCTGTCCTGTACTCCCCGATCTAAGCTCTAATGTCCCCCACAGATCAGATCTGTCCTGTACTCCCGATCTAAGCTCTAATGTCCCCCCGCAGATCAGATCTGTCCTGTACTCTCCAATCTAAGCTCCAATATCCTCCCGCAGATCACATCTGTCCTGTACTCCCCGATCTAAGCTCTAATGTCCCCCACAGATCAGATCTGTCCTGTACTCCCGATCTAAGCTCTAATGTCCCCCCGCAGATCAGATCTGTCCTGTACTCTCCAATCTAAGCTCCAATATCCTCCCGCAGATCACATCTGTCCTGTACTCCCCGATCTAAGCTCTAATGTCCCCCACAGATCAGATCTGTCCTGTACTCCCGATCTAAGCTCTAATGTCCCCCCGCAGATCAGATCTGTCCTGTACTCTCCAATCTAAGCTCCAATATCCTCCCGCAGATCACATCTGTCCTGTACTCCCCGATCTAAGCTCTAATGTCCCCCACAGATCAGATCTGTCCTGTACTCCCGATCTAAGCTCTAATGTCCCCCCGCAGATCAGATCTGTCCTGTACTCTCCAATCTAAGCTCCAATATCCTCCCGCAGATCACATCTGTCCTGTACTCCCCGATCTAAGCTCTAATGTCCCCCACAGATCAGATCTGTCCTGTACTCCCGATCTAAGCTCTAATGTCCCCCCGCAGATCAGATCTGTCCTGTACTCTCCAATCTAAGCTCCAATATCCTCCCGCAGATCACATCTGTCCTGTACTCCCCGATCTAAGCTCTAATGTCCCCCACAGATCAGATCTGTCCTGTACTCCCGATCTAAGCTCTAATGTCCCCCCGCAGATCAGATCTGTCCTGTACTCTCCAATCTAAGCTCCAATATCCTCCCGCAGATCACATCTGTCCTGTACTCCCCGATCTAAGCTCTAATGTCCCCCACAGATCAGATCTGTCCTGTACTCCCGATCTAAGCTCTAATGTCCCCCCGCAGATCAGATCTGTCCTGTACTCTCCAATCTAAGCTCCAATATCCTCCCGCAGATCACATCTGTCCTGTACTCCCCGATCTAAGCTCTAATGTCCCCCACAGATCAGATCTGTCCTGTACTCCCGATCTAAGCTCTAATGTCCCCCCGCAGATCAGATCTGTCCTGTACTCTCCAATCTAAGCTCCAATATCCTCCCGCAGATCACATCTGTCCTGTACTCCCCGATCTAAGCTCTAATGTCCCCCACAGATCAGATCTGTCCTGTACTCCCGATCTAAGCTCTAATGTCCCCCCGCAGATCAGATCTGTCCTGTACTCTCCAATCTAAGCTCCAATATCCTCCCGCAGATCACATCTGTCCTGTACTCCCCGATCTAAGCTCTAATGTCCCCCACAGATCAGATCTGTCCTGTACTCCCGATCTAAGCTCTAATGTCCCCCCGCAGATCAGATCTGTCCTGTACTCTCCAATCTAAGCTCCAATATCCTCCCGCAGATCACATCTGTCCTGTACTCCCCGATCTAAGCTCTAATGTCCCCCACAGATCAGATCTGTCCTGTACTCCCGATCTAAGCTCTAATGTCCCCCCGCAGATCAGATCTGTCCTGTACTCTCCAATCTAAGCTCCAATATCCTCCCGCAGATCACACCTGTCCTGTACTCCCTAAGCTCTAATGTCCCCCGCAGATCAGATTTACCCTGTACTCCCCGTTCTACGCTCTGATGTTCCTATCAGATCTGTCCTGTACTTCCTGATCTAAGCTCCAATATCCCCCAAATATCAGATCTGTCCTATTATCTGAAATCTAAGCTCCAATATCACCCTGCAGATCAGATCTGTCCTATTCTCCCCACCCGCAGATCAGATCTGTCCTGTACTCCCTGATCTAAGCTCCAATATCTTCCGAAGATTAGATCTGTCCTATACTTCCCGATCTGAGCTCCTATATCCACCCAGACATCACATCTGTCATGCACTCCTTGGTCTAAGCTCTAATGTCCCCCGCAGATCAGATCTGCCCTATTCTAAGCTCCAGTATCCCCCTGCAGATCAGATCTGTCCTATTCTCCCTGATTTAGGTCGTGTCCCCCAGATCAGATCTGTCCTGTACTCCCCGATCTAAGCTCCAATATCCCCCCAGAGATCAGATATGTCCTGTACTGCCCGATCTAAGCTCAAATATCCCGCCAGTGTCCCTCTGCAGATCGGTTCTGCCCTGTACCACCCGATCTATTATCCGATGTCAGTCTGCAGATCACATTTGCTCTGTACCACCCGATCTATTATCCGATGTCCCTCTGCAGATCGGATCTCCCCCGTCCTCCCATCACACCGCCCCGTCTACTCATAGCAGGACCTCCATGGGGCGGGGCCTCGTCTGCAGCAGCTTGTGTTACTTAGCCCGTCCGCTGATCCAATGGCGTGCTGGGGGCGTGTCCCGTGCTTCGTAGGCAGAGCCTTGGGCAGCCAGGAATCGGGAGGCCCCTTCCATTGCCTCTCATAGGTTTCATGCTGGCAGGGATTTACTGGAGTAGCTGCACACGTCGATCGACCTGCTGTCCAAACCCCCCATTTCAGCGATACATAAGGTAACAGTAAGCCTCCTGCGAGCTCCTGTCTCCCCCGAGGTACTGCTTGTCACCCCCGGGCTCTGCTTGTCTGGCTGATGGAAGAATAGTAGCGAGCAATCAATAAAAGAAAGTTTCCTGCGCACATCTGAGCTGTGATGTGATCCCTGGCATGGCACAGCCTGGCACCCCGGACCTCACAGGGGGGGGAGGAGGGAATGGGGGTGGGGGGTCTGGTGCCAGTGCGGAGAGTGGAACTTTGGAAGAGGATGTGGAGTGGGCTCAGCATCCCTTCTGCAGTCCGGATCTACCCACTCTCATTCTTCTGTGCATCTGTAATGTCTTTCACTGACACCCCCTCCCCATTCCCCAAATTGTGACGGAAGGGAACGGTGTCACCTCGCTGGGTCCAGCCTGCCTGTCTCCTGTGCCATAGGGATGCCCTTTAATCGCAGATCTGGTCCTAGCTGGCTTATCTGATCGCAGAGAGTGCAGGCGGGTGTGTGCCATGGTCGTGTCTGTTGGAAAGGCTGGCGATCCTTGCCTGTGTTTTGTTAGGAAGCAGCCTCCATCATACCCTAGCATTCCAGGAAGGCTCTCAGTCTGTTAGATCCGTGCATCTTTCTGCAGCCTTCCATTTGGCTGGCGATCACTTATTGTGTTCTCCCTGCCAAATCCCTCTGTGCTCTGCATTCACTGCCACTTGTTAGCTCTGTGGGCAGCTCAGTGGTTAGCAATTGTGTCTTGCAGCACTGGGCTCCTTAGTTGCAATCCCAGCCAGGATGCTATCTGTATGGAGTTTGCATGTTCTTGTACTTTGGTAGATTTGTTGGCTCTTGTCTAAATTGGCTTTGGTATGTGCGTTCTGCATGCTGGTCCCATGCCCATGTGATATAGGATTTTTACTTGGTAGTTTTTTCGAGGTAGCCCAGATAGCAAGAAATTGTGCTGCAAGTTTGAAAATGACTTGCTAAACTATTACAGACTTGACAAGCTTCACAATTTTGTTGCACAATTACAGTAAGTCTGCATTGCAAGTCTCCAGACCAGCGAGCTTGCAGAGCTCTTGCTAAGACCTGCAGGACTCTTGCTGTAGACTTGCCAAGCAAATTTGCTACAAGTTCAAAAAGTGTCACCTAGAACTTGTGCTGCAAGTGCTATGCAAGTCTACAACTTGCCAGGAATGTGTGCAGCAAGTTAACAAAATTACAATTTCACCCCGCCACAAGTTTGTAGCAAGTTATCCTTGCTATCTGGGAGGTCACCAGGTCTTTCCTCAGCCCTCCCCATTTCTTAATCATACATCACAGGACACTGGTTTATTCTTTTTGCCAGTGTCTGATCACCTAAAAGTAGCTGCATAACCCATCCATTGAAGAGGTAACTCCCTGTGATGTACCATCGAGAATAAAGTATACGTGTCTGCTGAAAAATCAGTTTCTTGGCGTACATCACAGGACACACAGAGTTAATTCTTCAACGGATGGGTTATGCAACTACCTTCGGGTGATTGGACGCTAGCAAAAAACTGTCATTGAAGAATGAACTTCTTGTGATGTATGATCAAAAATTGGGGAGGGTTGAGAAAGGACCTGGCAACCTACCTCGTATAAAGAACCCGCCAAGAAAGTTCTATGGAAAAAGGCTCTCAAGCATAGCAGATAAGGTGCCCAGAGAGCTGGTCCACAGGATCACTGAGAGTTGGGTATGACTGAACAGATATCACAAACACAGGCTCTGTAATATCAGCTATTGGAAGTCTTATCAGGCTGCCATGACTTTCTCAAGTCTCCTGTCTGATAATACCTGGATCCGAAGGTGACAACGTTTTGTGAGCATGTGTCAGGTCATTGTTGATCCTGATTGTTTGTAAACAATGGGTGGTAAGTGTCTGTGAAGGTTTTCATTTATCCTTATCAGGGTAGGCAACATTAGCACTCCAGCTGTGGTGAAACCACAAATCCCATCATGCTTCTGCCTAAGGGAGTCATGTCTGTGGTTTTTACTCTTGCAGTGCCTCATGAAACTTGTAGTTCTACAACAGCTGGAGTGCCGAGGTTGCCTACCCTTGGTCTAGCTAGTAGTAGTTAGTCACAACCGGACTTGTTCTGTAATACTGAAGATGTTTTGCCACTTATTTAGGTAGCTTCCTCAGCTCTTCTTCACAGAAAAAGGTCAGTTGAATGTGACTACTAGCTCTTCCAAAACTAGTATAAGTGAGAACCTTCAAAGACAATGTTGAAGACATTAAAGTAGCTTCCTCAGTTCTGAGTATCAAGGACTTACCCCAGCATTTATAGCCACATTAGTCACTTGTGGTCATGAACATGGCTACCTTAATCCAATCACTGTGGACTGTGTCAAGATGGATGATGGGGTTAAGTACCTGGCTCTCATTTGAACTGATGGAGTTACTTGGAAGAGTGGTTAACTTCTCCAACATTGCTTGGAAGAGTGGTTAACTTCTCCAACATTGCTTGGAAGAGTGGTTAACTTCTCCAACATTACTTGGATGAGTGGTTAACTTCTCCAACATTACTTGGATGAGTGGTTAACTTCTCCAACATTACTTGGATGAGTGGTTAACATTACTTGGATGAGTGGTAAACCTCTAAAACATTACAGAACATGTCCAGATGATTGTGACTAAATGCCACTAGCTATAGTGTGTGGTGAGCTGTCACACCACATTGTCCATTGCAATTTGCAAGCCATTGTATCCGCGTGCAGTGCTATACATTAGGTAATACAGTAGCCAGGGTGACATTCGTAGCCGTTTCCCCTGTCAATAGTTCCAATTAACCTCTGAGAAGACGTGTGGGAAAACAAACAGGAGAGTTTTCCTTGCGCGCATCAGAAATGCATGGCCCGAGGCAGACCCAGGGAAGAGACTGAAGGAAGCCTCTTGTGCAGCACGTACTGTCTGGCACACACAGTTCTGCCAGATGTCACTCAGGTGAGGCCATAGCTCCTCCTAGAACAAAACCCCAAAGAATCTGAAGCCTCCAGCTATCTGGAAAGACACTGCAAATGTCTGGATCCAGGGGGCACGTTGGAGAAATTGAGGCATGCTGCTGCCATTTCACTCTGAATCATCTCAAGCAGCTTTTCTCATTAAAAGCATTGTAGACCTTGATCATCACAAGCTTTTTAATACTCTAAAGAAACATGAACTATTTTACTGTAAGATCTTCAGGCATTCAGCTGTAAGCACAATTAAAGCGTTTGCTCAATATCCTGACTACAGATTGTTACTTCCAAAACTGAATTGTGGTAATCCAGTCTGTTGATAGATACAACTACTGTTTATTATCTGCATAAAGATCTATTGGCTACCTGGTGGTGATGGGATTACTGGTATTAAAAGCTGCTACTTGTAGTTCCACACCAGCTGGAAAACCTAAGAACCATCCCGAATTAGTCCCACCAGGGTAACCTTTGTATACATAGAAGCAGTATGTTTGTGCGTGATGTTTTATAAATACAGGGAAAGCATTGTGAGTCGGTAAACATAAATTACTTTATACAGTAAACAAAGTGGCCCCATGCAAAAACATCTGTAGGATGAACTTTCTCAGACCATTGTCCATAGCAGGTTTTCCATTATATTCTACAAGTCTGGTTTGAAGAATGTAAGAAGCGTCTGGTGTTAGGCGCATGGAGACTAGTGGACCACTGATTATGTTTTAGCTTGGCTGGTTTGAAGGGGGCAGTGCGCTACTGTGTGTCTTATTGGTGTATGTATGCCTGTGTGTCTTATTGGTGTATGTGTGTGTGTAT